CTGCAAAAATGAGCACATTATACACAAGTGCCCCCGAGCAGGAGACTGAATTTACAGCCGATAGCTCCAGGGCCACACTGATGGATGTTTAAATGAATGTTTGAGATGCCTAAGCTGCCCACTTATTGCTGTTTGTCAATAGGAGTGGCAAGAAGGGGCCAGGCCAAAAAAAAGCTTTGCTTTAAAACCCATGAGACCTATTAAAAGCCTTGCATAAGGCATTTTTAGATAAGAACCGCTTGCTAAATCCTTTTACCTTGCACTATCTGTCCTCCCTTTTTCTCCATATATTGCGTTTATAGACATCAAGCATATATCTTTGTAAACTAAGTAATCTATGTATGTAATCTGAGTATTCTATCTATGTAAGCTGAGAAATCTATCTATACTGAGTAATCTTAGTTATCATGTAACCTGAGTAATCTATGTATGTAATAGAGTAATCTATGTATGTGTTTGAGTATCTGAGTAATCTATTTATGTAATCAAGTAATCTGAGTAATCCCAATTCTCGATGTAATAAAATAATTTATGTAATCAGGATTAGAGGTTGACAGATATGTCTGGATAAAGGGAACTTACTAGAGAGGTTAAAAACCTGGATGGAAATCTCTGGAAAGCCTCTTGAGTGGTTTAGATCCTACATTGAGGACCATACTTACTATGTTGGGATGTGAAACTGTGTCTCAGACCAAATGGCATTGACCTGTGGGGATCCCTATGGGTTTATTCTGGTCCTCCTCTTGTTCAGTCATTCAATCTGTATATGATCACATGACCATTAGATTAATACATTTTTTACTAGCAACGTATCCTATCACAATTACCCAGATGATACTCAGATCTATGTTTCACTGACGGTGGGTGAACATGGACCTGTGGATACTCTGATCCTTGCTGTTTTTTACCAGTGTCATGAGCAAAATGAGGACTAAAATTGTTTGTCATCTGTTTGTCATCAGCCATCAGTTTTGATTACACTGGTAGTAAGACAGCCTTTGTCAAAGTATG